TAATCAATCTTGAAATCCTTGACTAACAGAGACTACATTACAGAAGAATGTATTACTGGCAAAGACTATTTAAAATAATACAGGTAGCATGTGACTGCTTTTAGTCCACTTTTATTTATCCATTAATAATAATGAATAATTTCTGTATTGTTGAATTCTTGTTCTTAGAATATTATTTAGGAGAGGAGAATCCACAGGGGAAAATGAGTTGTCACAAAGTGTGTCTCTTTTGAAGGCACAAAAAGGCTCTGCCATGATGTTTCACAGAAGAAACAATTGGAAAATCAGTGACAGGGTGAGTTTGCTGAGATTGGTGATGAATTCAACCTCAGGCTACCAACTGCTGTGAAGTGATGGGGCATCCCTGGGAAAGGAAATCCAGGATGTTCCTCAGCCCTGTAGCCACTTTTGCACTCTGGTAACTTTCTTATTAGACTACTAGAGACCCAGTGCACAAAATTTGTGCATGGGTGGGGTGCCTAGGCCTGGCCAATGATCAGGGCTTATCAGGGCCCTCTTGGCCAGTCCCAATCAGGCTAGGCTGGCCGGGGCCTTCTAGCTGCCAGCTGGGGCCTGCCAGCTACCAGACAGGGCCTGCTGACTGCTGGACAGGGCCTGCTAGATGGGGTGGGGTAGGATGAAGGATGGGGGAAGGACCACAGGAGGTTTGCCAGCCTGGGGGAGGGACTGGGGGAGGTTGGCTGGCCATGGGAGGTTGGCTGTGGAGCACACTGACCACCAGGGGGCAGCTCCTGTGTTGAGTGTCTGCCCCCTGGTGGTCAGTGCACATCATAGAGACTGGTTGTTCTGGTTGTGCTGGTCATTTGGTCATAACAATCGTTTAGGCTTTTATATATATATATATATATTTCATCATGTTAACTGCTTAGTGGAAGATGGTACTTAAGTGACACATACCTCTGCTGTGGACCATATTGCTGAATGGCACTTGCCCCATAGCCCATCTGTCCAGACAGGTGTTTGTATACACAATTCTGATGATTCCATGCAGACTATATTCCAGAAACTGCTCCCTTTAATCCTTAGTGACAGTCTGTTATATTACCACTAGCATGTATTAGAGGAGCTCATTCAAGGATCACTAGAGGCTCCAGTTGGAGAAACCACATTAATAATGATTCTGACAGATGTGGAGTTTGAGCTCCTTGGTAATTACTATTCCACCAAACCAACTGAGTCTCAGGACTGCAATGAAAAAGAAACAATCTTCCATGTATAATGGCTTTCACACTGCATGATACTATTAAAAAGCCATCATTAGCTACTAATGCACGCACTACCCATTTTCCAAAATCTTTTCTCAGCCAATAAATTAAAGACCAAGAATGATCAATGAGTGAGTCATCAGCATGAAAATTGTTGGTATAGGACATGCAAATTGAAATTATTCAGAATGATTTAAATAAATAAGGTTTTATTATAGATGATGATATTGCACTGATATTAAAAGATTTTCTTGCATAAGGCCCAGAGTTGATTTTTTTGCATCTACCTGTTATGGATTAGAAAAAAGAAAATTCTGTTCATGGAATGCCTTGGAAACATAAAACAGAGGTGTGGGGCAATTTTCCAAGTGCTGTGCTGGGCGCTGAGGATATAATGATAAGACAATGTAGCCCCAGTTCTCAACCAACTCACAGATTTAGAAGGGGGTGGCAGATAGCACACACAAATCACAATGCAGTGTGGTAACTACAGTAATCAAAGTGTACGCCTGGTACATGATAGCACAGAAGAGTGTAGCTTGTAGGAGAGATTTGAGAAAAGGGAAGGAAATCTGCTTAAGAATCTCCAACTTCCTAAGTTAGGACTTTTCATTCTCCCCTCTTGGAAGCCATATTCTTTCCTCTCTCATATCTCAAAATGTTCCTATCACAGAGGTGTTAGAAAGATGGTTACTACAGAAGGACTGGAGGACTAGAAACTATCATGGAGAAAACAAGCTTATGCTATGCTTTCTAAAGATTTAGCTACTTTAGATACATACTTTTTAAATTTTATTTTAAGCTTTTAAATAAGACATGAAGATGTGGAGTCCTGACTTCTTATAGGCCATGCTCCTTCCACATCACAGCACTCCTGTGCCTCTATTGGTATTCCTGTTTCATCAGGAAAGGTTTAATCAGACTGAGGTTTTAGGGGAAGGCAGATTCTTACCTGGGATCCGCCTCTTCTCATAATTTAAAAATAGCTGCAACCCAATCACATGTTGTTTAGCCCAGAAATGCTGCCTTTAACTTGATGGATTTTTTTTGTTAATGAGTTAGTCCACAGATACAATGTTAAGACATACATGACTGAAAATACTTGATTAACACTGCATGGCTCACATTCATCTCAATCTCTCTCTATTTTTATTGAAGTAAAATTCACAGGACACAAAATTCACAATTTTAACCATTGAAAGTGTACAATTCAGTGGCTTTTAGTACATGTATCATATTGTATAATCAACAGCACTGTCTAATTGGGAATGTTTTCATTATCCCCAAAAGAAATCTTATCTCCATTAGGCAGCAATTCCTCATTCCCTCTTCCCCTCAGCCCTGCTGAGCTGCTTTGTCTCTAGGAACTTGCCTATTCTGGACATTTAACATAAATGGAATCATGCAATATATATGTCCTGGCTGGCATCTTTCACTTTGCAAATGTTTTCAGGGTTCATCTATGCTGTAGCATGTATTGGTACTTCATTCCTTTTTACTGATCCATTAATTGGATGATGAATATTTGACCTCTTTGATGATCATGAATAGTGCTGCTAAGAACATTCAAGTGCAAGTTTTTGTTCAAACATTTGTTTTCAATTGGGGGAGAAGGGAACTTATAAATACCTATAAGTGGAATTGTTGGGTCATATGGCAATTTTATGTTTAACTTTTTGAGGAATCCTCACACATTCTAAAGCTGCTGAATCATTTTTTTTAAAATTCTCACCAACAATATAGAAGGATTCCAATTTCTCCACGTGCTTGACAACATTTGTTATATATATATATATATATATTTCTAATAGCCAACCTAGTGGATGTAAAGTGATATCTCATTATCAATCTTTTTATGGATACTAATTCATCATAAAAACCACTCAGAAACAAACAAACAAAAAGACATGCTCATATTAGCTCTTAAGTTTTCTTCTTTTATATACAAGGCTACCACTAAATTGAGAGCTTTCCCTAAGTTGAGCTGCAAAGTGAACATAGGAGATTCTGAACAACAGAAATGTTTTATCTGCTCCCATCACCCACTTCCCCTAGCAACCATAATTAACACCCAGGTGTCCAAATGATGACTGTTGAAATATCAGCCCCCTGAGGAATAGACAGGTGTCTTTAGTCAGCGATTGCCAAGGAGGCATCTAAAACATTATAAGGTTTGGCTGGTATAAAAGTTAAATGGGGGAAAAGCCACTTTTTAAAAAATCTGATGAACGTTCATTTCCCCCCCTCCATATGTGTTGTATTTTTTTAAATAATATACAATTAACCACCAATTTCATATTCCATTTTACATAATTTGTTTAGATAAAGCTCTGAATTAAATAGATTGAGCCATATGAAATATCAAATTCCTTCCTAGCATATTTCTCATTAATAATTCAGTGATCCACAGCACATATTCCTATGAGAGTCTGTCATTTATTTTATCATTAATTGTTATAACCAAAGTTATTCTTTTCCTTGCTTAAGCACTTAGTTTTGAGAACTAAAACACATAGCAAAAGATTACCCCAATAAAGCAAGGGGCAGTAGGAATTGTACCCCCACCCCCATTTCTGCATCCATTTCTGCATCCTGGACTGTGGCACAAAGGTACACATAGCCTCCTGCGGAGTTTAGTTCTGCTTGCTTGCCTCCCCTTAGTGAGAACTGTATGGATGGGAGGAAAAGCTGAGGGGAGGCGAAACAGAAAACTGGAGATAAAGCTAAAGCTTGAAAGAGACCAGGCACTCGGTGGCTGCTGGTCAGCCTTGGGAACCTGCGTGATCCATGTGAAGACTTTCAGGGATATTGAAAAGGAACAGGGGAACGCTACCTTGGACTGAAAGGATTGGAAAGCCAAAGGGAGCCTAGACTAGAGATGGCTGGAAGTCCCAGAAGTGGCTAGAAATCATGGTAATTAAACTGCCCGCCCCCAGGATCAATTCAGTTCCCAAAGGAAGTAGGAGAGCGTTAGGCTGTCCTGCATCGATTTTGTGTCTTATAGGTTTAGGCATATAGGTTGAAGCCGGATCTCACGTCCAGGAGCCTGCTCAGAAAAGGCCGAAATCCTAGTATTTCTACGGAAAGTCTCCCAGGCCATCGTACCATTCCGGGAGTTGATGACCAAGCCTGATCACCTGCACAGCCAGCCCTTCCTGGCTGTATAGCAGCTACCGTCCCAGCTCCCCGTTGCCCCTGCGCTCTCCTCCCCAGGAGGCCCGCCAGCTCTCCGGGGTGCAAAGTCCAGCAGGGCTGCGGGCGGAGCCTTCCCTGGCGGCTCAGCCTATCTCTCCCCAGCAAACACCCACATGGATTTCCAATGCAGCGTCTGGCACCTTCTGGAGGGTGCCGCGGGCAGTCGATATTCCCCTGGGAGACGCAGGGCGCTCTGGGCACCACACGCTGTAGAGGAGATTGGCGATGGTGCACCCAGGGCCTTGCACACCCCGCCAGCGAAGAGCTGCCTGCGGTGATGTAACCAGAAGCCCCAAACGCAGGCTTGTCGCCCCTACTCCCAAGGCCCCAGCTTAGGGTCAGTGTTCCGGACTCCTAGAGCATCCGAGTAGGTGCGGGAGTTGGGGTCCCTGCCAGAGAAAGGAGTTGAGCCGCACGAAGCGCGTCGCCGCGCTGCCAGGCTTCACGGAGGTGGCGCCCAGGTGAGCGGGGCTGGGCGCTTCCGCGGGGGTCAGGGCGGCGGGACAAGCGGGCGGGAGGTGGGGCTTGGGTCCCCGGACGATCGGACCCCAGTGAAATAAGGGCTCCCTTAGCTGAGCGTCACTGAGAGGAACTCCAGACACCTACCCTGCCTGGGGTCCGCTTCAGTCTCTAACTTGGGTAGGGGCCGGGTCAAGGGGCAGAATCTACACCTTTGGCTCCCACCCACCCTCCAGAGAGGCGGAGAAGCTCCGCAGGTCCCGTTGAGGGGTGGGTAAAAGGTGCTGCAGGGCAGCCCAAGAGGGGAAGGGGCGATTAAAACAAAAACAAAAAACTACTCGGATTAAACCGAGCGCGGGACTGGGAAACGTACAACATGGGGAGAGGCGATGAGCCTCCTATATAGCTTTCTCTCTCTCTCTCCCCCTCCCCTTCCCTTTCGTAGCTGCTGACGCGCTGGTGGCGCTTATTAATCATTCACCAGCCCGGAGCGCGCCAGTTAATGGCTGTGCGGCTCGGCTCCGGTCTCCGGCTTCCCCTCTCGGCGCCAGCGAGCGACCGGGCGCCCGGAGCGGCCAGAGGGGCCATGCGCCCCGCGGGTGGGAGCCGCGCTCCCCGCAGCCGCCGTGCGCTCCCCTCCGGTGCCGGGCGGCGGTGAGCGGGCGGACGGCCAGGGCGCTGAGTGAGGGCGCGAGCGGCGGGGCCCGGGAGAACCCCCCAGCCCCGGCGGCCCCACGGCCGGCCCCCCACCCGCGGCGGAGATGTTCCCCAATGCCACCGCCTCCTCTCCCTGCTCTCCCAGCCCCGGCGCCGGCGGCTGCGGCGAAGGCGGCGGCGGCAGGGGCCCCGGGGCCGGCGCCGCGGACGGCATGGAGGAGCCTGGGCGCAACGCGTCCCAGAACGGGACCCTGAGCGAGGGCCAGGGCAGCGCCATCCTCATCTCCTTCATCTACTCCGTGGTGTGCCTGGTGGGGCTGTGCGGGAACTCCATGGTCATCTACGTGATCCTGCGCTACGCCAAGATGAAGACGGCCACCAACATCTACATCCTGAACCTGGCCATCGCCGACGAGCTGCTCATGCTCAGCGTGCCCTTCCTGGTCACCTCCACGCTGCTCCGCCACTGGCCCTTCGGCGCGCTGCTCTGCCGCCTCGTGCTCAGCGTGGACGCGGTCAACATGTTCACCAGCATCTACTGCCTCACCGTGCTCAGCGTGGACCGCTACGTGGCCGTGGTGCACCCCATCAAGGCGGCGCGCTACCGCCGGCCCACCGTGGCCAAGGTGGTGAACCTGGGCGTGTGGGTGCTCTCGCTGCTGGTCATCCTGCCCATCGTGGTCTTCTCGCGCACGGCGGCCAACAGCGACGGCACGGTGGCCTGCAACATGCTCATGCCCGAGCCCGCCCAGCGCTGGCTCGTGGGCTTCGTGCTGTACACCTTCCTGATGGGCTTCCTGCTGCCCGTCGGGGCCATCTGCCTGTGCTACGTGCTCATCATCGCCAAGATGCGCATGGTGGCCCTCAAGGCCGGCTGGCAGCAGCGCAAGCGCTCCGAGCGCAAGATCACGCTGATGGTGATGATGGTGGTGATGGTGTTCGTCATCTGCTGGATGCCCTTCTACGTGGTGCAGCTGGTGAACGTGTTCGCCGAGCAGGACGACGCCACTGTGAGCCAGCTGTCCGTCATCCTGGGCTACGCCAACAGCTGCGCCAACCCCATCCTCTACGGCTTCCTGTCGGACAACTTCAAGCGCTCCTTCCAGCGCATCCTGTGCCTCAGCTGGATGGACAACGCCGCGGAGGAGCCGGTGGACTACTACGCCACGGCCCTCAAGAGCCGCGCCTACAGCGTGGAGGACTTCCAGCCCGAGAACCTGGAGTCCGGCGGCGTCTTCCGCAACGGCACCTGCACGTCCCGCATCACCACTCTCTGAGCCGGGCCCCAGGGGTGTGGGGGGGCGGGGGGAGGACGAGGACCGAGGGAGGCCGCCGGGTGTGAGAAGTGAAAGGACCCCAGGGGTCAGGGGGCGGTGTGGCCAAATGGGGCTAGGACACTTGGGCGCGCTCTGGTCTTGGGGTGAAGAGACCTGGGAAAGGAGAGCGGCGAAGGCGGGAGTGAGTTGTGTTTTTTGTTGTTGTTGTTTGTTTTGTTTTGTGTTTTTGCTTGTAAGCTGGGAAGGCTCGCGAGCCCCCTCCTCGGCTCTCCCGCCTTCCTACGCCGCGGCTGCACTTCTGCACCCTCTGCGCTTCCCGCTCTGTAACTTGGAGCTCTCCTTTCGCCCAGTCCCGCCGGTGCAGATCGCGAACTCTTTAACTCCGTCTCCAACTCATGCCGCCAGCCAGCCGCGCTTTCAGTTTGTGTAAGCCCAGCCGTGACTTTCCCCAGGGGTGAGGCCCAGCCGGCCCTCCAGCCCCGCCCCGCCGCGCCCCTGCGCTGGCCAGAGCCGGCCCGGTGCCCCCAGCGGGGCCTGGAGCGGCCGCTCTCCCCTCCGCACGGCCCTCCTCTCAGGGAACCAGGGGGGAGGGGGGGCTGGAGAGCGAACCGGGCAGCCGGCCCTTCCTACTGCTCTGCGGCGCCCTCCAGCCCCTCGCCTCTCCCACTCCACCGGAGCGCAGCCAGGTGCTTAGTGAAATCCGTCCGGCGCAGCGATCCCCAGGCATTGCGCAGCTCCCTTCCAAACCCCTCTCTGCAGCACAAAGAAGCTGAGCACAAGGACCCAGGTTGGGGACAGGAAGAGGGATTGTCGTGGCAGCCACCGCCTCCAGCTCTGCGGACCACCGGGCTTTGGATCTCAAAGACAGACGCTCTTGGGCGCTGGTCTGCCTTCGGCCACCGGGGGCAGGGCGGACTTCCCCCCACCCCCATAGGGCCCATCGGGAGCGTGGCTGCAGCTACACTAGGTTGTATCCCTCTCCCAAACATCAGAGGTGCAGCTCTAAGCTTAGCCACAGACTCAGTTTCCTGCTCTGACTTATCTCTGAGACAGAGCCCTGCGTCTGGGACCTCTGGTGCCGCCCACAGACCCTGCCTTTCCCCACTGTGCCGCCGCCACCTGCAGGCTAGAGAGTGTTGCCCCTTTCAAGCGGTGCCTAATAAGTTATGTACTTGTTTAAGGTATTTATTTATTTATTTCTGATGTTTGGAAATTTCTCTGCTTTCCTTTTCTCTTTGCCAAGCCCAGTGCTCCCCCCCCCCCCCATTACACTGAGGGTGAGGGTGAAGTGTGTGTGTGTGTGTGTGTGTGTGTGTGTGTGTGTCTAAAGCCTTCTCAAAACCTCTCCTCTTTTCTGGGTCCTCTTTTATTATCCTTTTCCAGCCTTTCTATTTTTGCTTGTATCAGTGAGTTTGGAGATTTTGTAATAGTTTTCTTATATAGTCTCTTGTTTGTCTTATAATAAATAAACGATCATGTGGGTTAGTCTCCCCTCATGCAGAGTGAAAGTCCTGTACTCCTTGCTTTCAACATCACCTTGTATATGATTTGGATATGCATAATATATATTTATACATTATATATATTTGTTTATCTTGCTCCATTGTCATAAAATAGTCCATAAAATAGCTCCCAAACAGAGCCACTAACAATGACAGGTGTAAAGCTGGCTGAAACACTTTCAGATAAGAGGGTCCAAGCAGCACTCAAACTTGGAACTCAGAAGTCTGTTTCAGATAGACTTGATCCAGGTTGAGGGCGTGGTGAGGGCTGTACCTCAGCCGCTGCTTCCTCCAGTTTTCAGCATGGGTGAGTCTAACACACAGTCTAGTTCACATCATTATTCTTTTAAAGACATTGGAAATTGAGTGATTTGTGTCTATGCTTAATCTTACAAACTACATTGGAAGCCTAAGCAGGGCAAGGACCAATACTTTTACTTCTTTGTACTCCTGTAATGTTTTAGTATCCTGGCTTGTACATAGTAGGCACTAGATACATGTTTGCTGGGTGAGTGCTTAAGTTAGCCAGAGTGCATTACAATGATCAGCTGGGAGGTGGTAGGTCAGGGCCTACCATTGACACCATACACAATGGTTGAGATCACTCTGGAAAAATATGTTTCTGTATATTTGCTCCAAGAACATTGTGCTTTCCTGAAAGCAGTAACCAAGAGTTCAAATGTCCCTTATGTTTAGTTTAAACTAATTAACAAATATGCTTTTGGTTCTAAATCAGAAAGTTTCATTCTGTCCCTTAATAATAATATATATTATTATTCATTTGAAAAAATAGATTTTTAAAATATCTTTATTGTTGAAAGTAATACATATGTACTCTTTCCCCCCCCCCCCATTGACCCCTTCTAGCCTGCCCCCATTCCCGCCCTCAGCCTTCACTACCCTACTGTCTGTGTCCAAGGGTTATGCATACAAGTTCTTTGGCTGCTATCTTCCCACCCATCCACCCTCTGAGATTTGACAGTCTGTGGAAAATAAGTTTTTAATTGGTTACGGACAGTGAAATTTCCAATCAAAATCTTGATCATTAACCTCTTAAGAAGATACAAATCTATGCTCTTAACCTGTTACCATTGTAATATTAACCAAATAAACAAATGTGTCATGTTGTTTCAAGTTGTCTTACTTTGCCATTTGAATTTTACTATTTCAACCTATTACCTAAACACACACACACACACACACACACACACACACACACATTGGCTGAGTTGCTTTATGTTCCATGTAGATTTTTAAGAAGAAAGATTTCAGATTACCTTTGGACATTTCTACCAAGATTAAGGTTACACCTTGAAATATATATTTTTAAGAAAAGTCTATTCACTTTGAGAGGAGAAACAAACTTTCAGTGATATGAATTGGAAGCACTGTACTAGGTTACACTCTCTATGCTTTTCTGTTGTCACCAAACTAACTACAAGATATTTCAATTTCTCAGAGATTAATTGCTGTCTGCCCACATTTATGACCTCACACTTTGTTGTGGGAGCTAAGTAATTGCTGATTTACATCCCAGGGAAAGATCATGTAAAAAAAAGAGAAAAGTTTGCCTAAAGGTGTTACAGGGGGCAATGGGTAAAAGAATAGAAAAATTAGATTTCAACCTAAGAGAAGAAATCCGTATTTATGCTTCACTCAAGAATGGTCATTTCCATCCCTGAAAGAATTTTTAAGAAAGTACTAGGAGAGTATCTTTTAAAAAATAGACTTAAAAGGCTTCTTAGAGCAGTTTTCATAGCAAAGTGATTGGAATGGAGTGTCTTCAGGGCAGACAATATCATTGATTCCAGAACCAGCGGTGGGGGTAGGGGTGCAGTTGTGTATGTTTCAAATACCTTCAAATGTCCTGTAACTCTAGGCTTTGTGCTTCTACACATTTCCTAAACATGAATAAAGGTAGCTGGACTTTTGTCTTTTCTTATTATTTTTTAAAATATTTTTTATTAATTTTTTACAGAAAAGAAGAGAGAGGAATAGAGAGTTAGAAACATCGATGAGAACCATCAATCAGCTGCCTCTTGCATGCCCCCTGCTGGGGATGTGCCCACAACCAAGGTACATGCCCTTGACCAGAATCAAACCCGGGACCTTTCAGTCCGCAGGCCGACACTCTATCCACTGAGCCAATCCGGTTTTGGCCTTTTCTTATTATTATTATTTTTTAAAAATATATATTTTATTGATTTTTTACAGAGAGGAAGGGAGAGAGATAGAGAACTAGAAACGTCGATGAGAGAGAAACATTGACCAGCTGCCTCTTGCATACCCCCTGCCCGCAACCAATGTACATGCCCTTGACCGGAATCGAACCTGGGACCTTTCAGTCTGCAGACCGATGCTCTACCACTGAGCCAAACCAGTTTCGGCCTTTTCTTATTATTTTTAAAAGCTATAGCAAGGTGGCAAATTGAGCTTATACCTTAGATGTGCAGAAAAACACTTGTTATTTTGGTTTTAACTAATCTAAACATTATCCAAGCCCCTTCTAACTAGCTAGCTGGGAGAAAAAATATTAAATAGATATTCAAACATCCAATTGAACTGATCACTTAAATAGCCATTTTCAAAATTTTATTTAAGTCAGTTTAGACAGTCTCTTGGCTGGCCTCTCCCTCCTTTTTCACCCCTGAGGTAGGGTTAGAGGGAAGGGGAGGAGGCTTTATACATCCAGGTGCAGAAGGGGATGCGGTGGGGACCGAGAAAGGGGCCTTTCTGCCCTCTCTTCTCTGGACACCCGGGTGATTCCTGGCTGCAGTTTGTTAAAATCCGGAGCTTGTGATCACCTCTCAGCATGGTGAGGGCTGTACCTCAGCTCCTGTGGGCTGCAGCCCTGTCTTCCCTGCCCCATACAGCTGCCTGGTGGCCTACCCAGTCTCCACCAGGAGTGACCTCACCCTGTACAGGCAGCCCTGTGGGAGCCTCTTGGCTCAGCGACTAGAAGGGACCTAGGGTAGCTCTAGACTGGTGACCCTGGGGATCTCCTCTGAGACATTTCTGCAGCTCTGGCATAGCTCTTTTGCCTCTCACCTTACCTTTGTCAACTTCTCTTATTAAAAGCATTCCACAACCCCCACATCTCATTTGCATAGAGGAAAGACTTAAATCTTGGCCTAAGTTGTGCTAAAGTAGGAAAAAAGGATTTAGCAAATTTCTGTGCAACCCCATTCCCGCTGCTCCAGCTGATTTCCAAGGCTTTTAGTTTTGCTTAGCATTTAAGGACAAGCCCTCTCCTATCCTTAGGTGATGAGCCTCCTCAGGGTGAGAGACTACAATGAAACATGACTTACCAAACAAGTTAAAATATATCAGTTCGGTGTCTATGAACTATTATGTCTTACTGGTGACCTTTGTGTTCCCAGGATACAATCTTCTCACACAATACCCCCAAAAGGATTATGTTGGGAACTTTGATGGCTCCTCCAATTTAACCCTGATTATTGTACAAAATGCCAAACATATGGTTTTGGCCTGAAAAAGAAGGCAAGGAGTACTCTTGGAGAATATTATGGA